ATATATATATAGTTTTGTTGTGATCAGTGGTATTTTATAAATAATGAAATGGCACATTTTTGTTTATTTATATTTAATGTATAGTTAGGCCTCTAAAAGTGTGTAATGCACATATGACACAAATGAATAAATTTAATAAATTTCTGGTGTTCTATCGGTTATGCTGAAATTTGAAAGTATCTCACAATCATTGATAACAAGCTATTGGGGCAATAAATGCAGTAAGATCCCGCCCCCCAAAAAAGTAACTTATCCCTTTAATCTGACCTTTGAGGTTTCATGGTTTTCTTACTGTGTGGTATTTAACTTGTGTCTTTATTGACAGGATGCGCAGATCTGGAGCTCCGAGTCAGCTTTGTGGAAATGCTGCTAAGAAACCCAGGTTTATGCCACCAGGGCCGGCGAGGAATGATGGACCACCTTCATCTGGTCCCCAACCAGAACCATCAGTACTGTCACCACCACCACCCACACCTGCTTTGGGAAATGTGTTGCTCAATAAGGTCAAAAACAAGAGAATAATTAAAAAGTGCTCATGTTGACAAATGTTATCCAATGTTTGTGATCATGTACATAATTTATATGTGACTGATAACATCTTAATATTCATATGATCTATTTAGTGTGTTAAAACACGTGTCTTCATCTGTATCATGATCAGGCAGTTATTGTTTGTTTTTGCCTGACAAAAAAACAGACACACAATGTTTGTTTTCCCTTGCGGATGTTGTTTTAAAAGTTATTTCTCCCTGCAGGTCCAGAGGTGTTTGAGTAGTGCAGATGCTCCAGCTGATTCTAATGCTCCAGTGGGCAGTAAAGCTTTAGCCAGGGTCCTGAGTGCTGTTCCTCATGGTGAATGTAAAGAAAACAGCTTCAGGTCTTCACCTGACTTTCCTGAACCTAAACAACTAGCAGATAAAGACAGCTGCTCATCACAGCCAAACACACATGCCAACTGCACAGCAACTGGTAAGATACAGCACTGTCATATTTTGTGTGTGTGTTATGATTGAAAGGTGATTGAAACATCACTTGTTTTTATCTCTTGTTCAATAAATGTTAAACAGATTTTTAGTCTGGTTAATGTATAAAGTTTCCTTTGGTAACGAATTTGTAATATCTGTGTAATGCATTACTTGTAACCATATTTTAAACTTGGACTCGAAGGAGGACATTTTTTTAAATAGATTTTTTATATGTAAATTTTTATTTTTGATAAACCTGTGCCACTCAACAATATAAACACATTGCTGAAAAGGTGTTCTGTAGTTACAACTCACCTTAAATGGTCTGTTTTTATGTTTTTAATTTATTATCTCCTTGTAACCATTGGATTTGGAAACTGGTATTTCAACTGTAGGTTTTAAAATCTGTCTCTAAATGGCTCCTGTTATTGAACCATAATCCAAAGAGCTTAATTGATCTGATGGTCATTATCGCAAAACAAACCCCAGACTTGTATTACCCCTAACGGGTGTTATTTTGCAATAATGACTGCATTGTTCCCTTTATTACACCGCTACTCCCCAAATAAATAAATACATGGAAATTAAATACTGATTTATGTTTTAATTAGGTTACTATTTAGCCTTACTATTCAGCCTTTTTGTAGAGAGACAAAGAGATAGAGAACAAAAGCACAGCATGTAAGGAAATTTAATTTTGATTAGCAGTATAATATACGTTGCCATGGGCGACGGTACCGCTGAATGCCATGACTGACCAATCAGAAATTCATCCAAAGATAATTGTCTCGGATTTTGTTAAATCTAAAGATAATTTTTATAATTTACTTATTTATTTATTTTTGTTTGTTTTGTTTTTTTGAATAATGCGTCTGTTTTGCATGGTCTTGCGAACCTTATCACGTTGATATTTTATAATGTCGCACAAGTTGCTAGGATGTAGTGTACAAAAACTGTGATTAAGAAAGAGGAAAAATACACTTGCTCACTAAGTTTTAAATGTGTGAGTAAAACTATTAGAGAAAAACAGCAAAGGGTTCCGAGAGCAGCCAGGCTGAACAAACGGCATCTCTATTCCCCTCCTTTAACTTCGGCTTTGAGTGAAACTAACCAATCCGAGCTCACGGACCGCTTGATTGACAGGCGCTACATGCGTGATCGTATTCGTGCCGCGCGCCGCACAGATTCAAGGCAGAGGTGTCCTGCATAATATGAGTGTGAGCTGTGGTGCATTTGTCAGTCAGCCTGGGAAATGTATAGCAACTGGTGTCCGAAAAGCAGTTCTCTCACACACAAAACACTGTCTGTACGCACGCACATAATGCTGGAGTTGTTCTGGCGCGAACTGTTAAGCGTCAGTTTAATGTTTCCTCTGGCGGTTCAGCACTCGCGCGGACTCGCTCTCTGCTGTCAAAACACGGATTGACGCGCTTCAAATATAACGACACTTTCAAAAACACGCCTTCAGTCGTTTTCCGCTAAAAATGCAATACTTGTCGCTGTTTGCAGCGGAATAAAAGAGCTCTGCTGTGTTTCTAGTCTAATGAAGTCGGGCTTGTTATGTAGGTCAGGCCAGGCTTAAGCAGCTTTACTGAACCTGCGTCAGCTTAAGCTAAAAGGAATTCCAGCAAAGCCCTCCCCGGGTAGGCGTGGGCCTAATCGAGGCTGGCCTAGTTAAGCCTGATTCTTTTTCTTACATCTGTGTGCTTGAGAGCCAGTTTGTGCATGTGTGTGTGTTGCTTAACCGAGACAAGCAGTGCAGCAGCCTGCTCACACAAGTGAGTAGAGAAAGACAGACACAGCACAGGGAACAGAGGAGAAGGACTCGGAGATCAAACCTAGAGCACTGAGACCAGCCTAAAGGCAGGATGTCTACCTTATTCATGTCAAACAGCATGGTCGGCAAGGCCCGCTCATCCAACTTCACCCTATCTGAGAAACTGGATCTTCTGCGGCTGGTCCAGCCTCACATACACATTCTGGAGGAGCACACCAACAAGCACGCCGTGATCGTAGATAAGAACCGGTGCTGGGACAGCATAGCAGAACGCTATAATAGTTTTGGAGGCGAGAGGCCCC